TGCAGCTATGTCAACATGCTAAAAACCTTGCATTATTTTGCAAAGTACCTTTTTATCTTATACTGAAAATCAGCTTTTATATGACTGAGGGATTACTATAAGAAAGGCATACTGGGAGGCACCGGAGGCTCAGTGAGTAGTGTGCCGGCCCCATATACCGAGAGTGGCAGGTTGAAACCTGGCCCCAGCCAAACTGCAACAAAAAAATAGCCGGGCGTTGTGGCAGGTGCCTTTAGTCCCCGGTACTTGGGAGGCTGAGGCAAGGCAAGAGAATCTCCTAAGCCCAAGAAGTGGAGGTTGCTGTGAGCTGTGATGCCACAGCACTCTACCAAGGGCGACAAAGTGAGACTCTGTCTCTGAAAAAATAAAAAAGAAAGGCATACCTAGAGATGTCAAAATAATTTGGATGAAAAAATGAAAGACCACTCTATGACAACTTAAAGCAAAAGCAAAGTGCAGGATTTAAAGGTAGAAATTAGTGCCAGCAAAGGATGGTTTGATAATTTTATAAAGAGGCTTAGCTTTAAAAATGTCAAGAAAATGGGAGCAGCAGCTTCTGCTGACCAAGAGACAGCAGGTAAGATCCCAGACACCCTTTAGAAAATCGTTAAGGAGAAAGGATAGCTGCTTAAACAGGGTTTTTCTTTTTTCTTGGTGACAGGATCTTGCCTTTATCACCCAAGCTGGAATGAAGTGGCTGATCATAGTTCACTGCAGCCCTGAACTCCTAAAGCTCAAGCCATCTTCCTGCTTCAGCTTCCTGCCCTCAGCTAATGTTTCATTTTTTGTAGAAATGAGGTCTTGCTATGTTGCATAAGCTGGTCTCAAACTTCTAGTCTCAAAGCTATCCTCTTGCCTTGGCCTTCCAAAGTGCTGGGATTATAGGCATGAGCCACTTCACTGAACAAGTTTTTAATGTAGATGAAAGCACCCTATTCTGGGAAAAAATGCTACAAAAGACATTTATAAACAAGGAACAGAAATGAGCCTCAGACTGTAGGGAAGGAAGGGATAGCTTAACTCCACTGTTTGCACAAATATGATCAGGTTTATGATCAGGAATGCTTACCCTTATCTGTAAAGCTGATAATCACTGAGCCTTGACAGGAAAATAAAAACACAAGCTGACAGTCTTCAGGTTGTACAAAAGAAGGCCTAGACAACAAGGCCTTTTCCTGGATTGATTTCACTGATGCTTTGCTCCTGAGGTTAGGAAGTCCCTTGCCAGTTAAGAAATTGCTTTAAAAAAAAAAAAGGTAGGGGTGAAGAGTTTCAAGATAAGGATCTTAGAAAAATTCAAGAACTAAAAGATAATTACCAGAGGAATTAACAAAAGATGACCTGATGGAAACGAGTACTTCCAAACCAGTGCCAAAGATGAGGAAGAAGATGTAGAAGATACAGTGCCAAAAGACAAGCTGAAATTAAGCAGTCTGGCAGAAGCATTTCAATCATCCAACACTGCTTCTGACTTCTTTTAGGAATAGCCCCTTTTATGATATGGATATTGCAACTAAAACAATCATTGGAAAAATTGGTACCATACAAAAATATTTTTAGAGAAATAAAGCAAGACAAAAAATTAAGATGTGCCTGTTTTTCCTGCCTCCCCTGAGACAATAAGACCAATGTTTCCTCTTCCTGCTTCTCCTTGGCCTACTCAATGTGAAGAGGATGATGAAAAATAAGTCCTTTCTGATGATCCACTTGCATTTAATAAACAGTAAATGTATATTCTTTTTCTTATGTCTTTCTAAACATTTTCTTTTCTTTTCTCAACAGAGTCTCACTCAGTCACCCCAATTAGAGTGCCAAGAACTTGAAATTTCAGAACTCAAAGCAATTTCAAACTCTTGGGCTCAAGCGATCCTCCTGCCTCAGACTCGCTGAGTGCTAGGGTTACAGGCAATAAGCCTAAACATTTTCTTTTCCATTCTAAGAATATAGTACCTAGGCCAGGCACAATGGTTTGTGCCTTGTAATCCTAGCACATTGGGAAACTAGGAGACTGAGGCTGAGGCAAGAGGATTGCTTGAGGCCAGGAGTTCAAGGTTACAGCTAACAGCTGGGCGTGGTGGCCCACACCTATAATCCTAGCGCTCTGGAAAGCCAAGATGGGTGGATTGTTTGAACTCAGTTCAAGACCAGCCTGAGCAAGAGTGAGACCCCATCCCTAAAAAAAACAGCTGAGTGTTGTGGCAGGCACCTGTAGTCCCAGCTACTTAGGAGGCTGAGGCAAGAGAATCATTTGAGCCCAACAGTTTGAGACTGCTATGAGGTATGACACCACGGCACTCTACTGAGAGTGACAAAGTGAGACTTTCGCAAAAAAATTTTTTAGAAGCAGTTATAGTTAGCTATGATGGCACCACTGCACTCCTGCCTGGGCTCTAGAAAAAGACTTTGTCTCCTCCCTCTCCCCCTAAAATGAATTAAAATAAAAAAAGAATATAATATGTAATACATACACATATAATCAACTGTTTCAACTACTTACGTTATGGATAAAGCTTCTGGTCAACAGTTGGCTATTGGTAGTTAAGTACTGAGGCAGTCAAAACTTATATGTGGATTTTTGACCTTGCAGGGATTAGCATCCCTACCTGGATTGTTCAAGAGTCAACTGTACTTCATTAACTTATTGGCCTACCCATTTTTCCCCAAACTGTGAACTCAAAGAGTACAGAGACTAAATATTTTTCCTCCTGTAACCTGAGATCTTAACACAATTTCTGGAATTTAGTATGTATTCAATAAGTAATTGTTTAATTAATTAATGGCATACTTAAATGTATCCTTTTAACTCGTCCATAAATACTTTATTCTGATGTTTCATATCCAGCTCTATCTAATACGTGATGGCATGTTCAAGTACTTGGAATTATTTGAGAGCAAAAGTTTTATCTTCGTAAAGAAAAAAAAGACATTAATCATTAGTTTCTTCTATAATAGTGTTATACCACAGATATGTACTAACTGTTGTATATATAGGTCATGCTTCCTAAATTATAGTCAAAGTTGGAAAATAATTTTTCAGTTCAAGTAAGGAGACAAAGCACCACTACCATCACCTTGAGAAAACTAATGGGTTAGGTAACTATAATAGGAAATCAGAATATGTGGCAAGAAGACTATAAAAATGAATTATTTCATTGTTAAGTGAAATAAGTCAAGAATTGAAAGCTAAATATTGCACCATCTCACTCATATGTAAAATCTAAAAGAGTTGATCTCTCAGAAGTAGAGAGTGTAATAATAGTTACCAAAGGCTGTAGTAGTTATGTGGAAGGTAAGTACAGAAAGATGTTAGTCAAAGGATGCATAATTCTAGTTAGGGAGGAGAAATATATTTCAAGAATCTATTTTACAGCATGAATTTACAGCAAGATGATGATAGTTTTTGCAAATATATGAAGACTATCTGGAAAGTATCCAGATGTGCAGATCTCTATTTTTAATATTACATGGCTGGATACTTTCCAGATAGCCCTCGTACATTCTTAAAAATGGAGAGAGTGGATGTTATGTGTTTTTACCACCATAAAATAACTGAGGTAACACACTGTTAATTAGCTAGATTTAACCATTCCATACTTTATATATACTTTAAGACATCATGTTGTAAATAATAAAAACAATGTTATCGGTTAAAATGATTATATGTAGTATTTCAAAGTTTTCAGAGCATTAAAAATATTCGATAAGTTTCTATTTAATATTGAACTGCTTATCACTTTTTTGTTCTCCCTGTTTATTTACTACAAGGCAAAATTAGCACAATTTAATGTATTCGGTTTAAGAGCTATGTTATTTTCTTGTAATCCTAAGATTATAATCTGTAATCTTATCTCCCTCAGATGACATCATTTTTATCAGTATAAGTCTAAAATAAAAAGATTAGGTCTAAGTAGAGGGCAATCACTCATTCAACAGCTGTTTACTGAGTGATTTAAAGATTTAATGAAAGCAAACTTCACCAAAGCTTCCAGCTGATATAGTAAGTTTTTTTTCCTCTGAACATGGTTCTTTAAAAAGAAAAAAAAATTTAAAGCCTCCAAAGATGAAAAACTACAGTTGCAATTATGAATCAGTCAAAAAGTTTCAACAGGTCACTGAGATTTTAAACAATTCAGTGGTAAGAATTTCAATGAGGTTTGCACGTATTTTCTAAGGTACCGTAGATCACTGCCAAAGTCAATAACTTCATAGGGCCGTAATGAGTTCTGGGAGTTCTGTCTGAGCTTAGACATTTGTCAATCATAAATGCCTTCAAAAATCACTTACCACGCATCCCCTCCCCGCCTTTCAGGTTTGAGAAAAATTTTAAGTCAAAAAATGCAGCTCTAAATTACATGTCCTTTTTGGCACTCGTATTCTAATGAGAAAACTCTCGATTCACAAGTCTTAAAGAGTACATACATATCTAATTATTCTTACCCCTTTTGGGGGGGGGGAGAAACCTAAATCATTTTGTTATTTGCAGCTGCTTTAACAGCAAACGACAATTAAATGTGTGAACAAGGTTGTCAAAGTAACACCTGTCATTCACACTGCTTAGGGAAAGATGATCCAAGACTTTCAGAAGCACTAATTAAAATCAACAAAAGTTTCTCACCGCGACTTGTCACAGGAGTTTGTCAGAGGAAAACCAAATCGCCTCAGAGATTAAAGTCTGTTCACTCTAAGGTCTAAATCCAACCCACTTACTAAGCCCCGACGCTCAAAAAGTAACTCATCAAGGTGATAACTTCAACCCTTTCGATATAACCCGCAATTCGGAAAAGAACTTCAGGGAGAAGGCGGAGTGAATTTTCTCTCATGAAGATACGAGAAAGGGGCAGGGAAAAGTATCTCCTCTCTTTACTATAGAGCGGAGACGAGTGCGAGCTCCCACTAGCAACGGTTCAGTCCTGAGAGTTTATCGCTTCGCCAACCTTATCTTTAATTCAACGTACGGGAAGGCACTCAAAACAAGAGAAACGTTAAATGATTCTACCCACCTCTGTCCCCATAGATCCCCGAAAGACCCTCATCGAGAGCACAGACGGCCCTTTCTCACCTAAGCCCGGCTGAAGTTGGCCGTCCTTACGTGGAGCTCACGTTTCAGCAATATGGCATGCGATTGGTTGACTCCGGAGGAAAGACTCAGTCCTATTGGTTACAAGAGCAGAGGTACGGGTAAGGAGGCGGGAGTTTGGGGCTGGCCCTGACAGGCCGGCTGTTAAGAGTTCCCAGAGTGCCTATTGGGTCAACACGGGAATCTCCAAGATGGCGGCAGAAGCAACCTGCGGCGCTGGCGCTGGGAGTACCGGGTCTTTGGCGGCTGCAGTCGGCATGAGTAACGTCACCAGTTTCCAGAGGAGAGGTCCTAGAGTCGGCGGGGCCGACAGTGGCGGCCCTCGACTGATGTCCATTGCGGGCACGCGACCGTCGGTGCGGAATGGACAGCTTCTAGTATCAACCGGGCTTCCAGCCCTGGACCAGCTCTTAGGTCGGTTCAGAACGGAAACCTGGGCTCTACCGTGGGAAAACTTAGGGAAGGGACCTGCCAGGGGAGCCACTTGAACCCCACATCTCTCTGACCCCTACGTCTTTGGACGTGGAGAGAATAGCCTCGTCTGATGGAGATGGAGGGGAGGAAGGGTTGTGTAGAGGACTTATAAGCGCTCTTAACTAAACATGCTTTAATGACCCCCAGTTTCTATAATCGTTCCCCGTACCCACCAGCCCCTTTAGACTGCGGTGGGGTCCCTGCATGTTCTTTACCCTAAAATGCTTCCTAGTCAAGAGGAAGCATTAATGAATGGAGACGGTTTGACTTGCTCTCAGGATAATGTCCTGGTCTCTGAATACACTCTTCTGCCAATCCCAAGTAGTTCACCCCAAGTACATTTGCAGTAACGTACAATGTGAAAGGGAGATAGTCTTCGTGAAAATGCAAAAAAAAAAAAAAAAAGCGATTTCCCTTCTTTCACCTCCAGACTGTTTATTTCCTCGTTCTAAATCTGAAACAATATTATTGACTTCAAGAGAGGGGATGTTAAAGGTTTATGTTAAAAATTTGGTTACAGCCTGTGGTTGATATTGAGGTAATCATACCCGTATTTGCATTAAATCTTTGTGTATATACTGTTTTGTTGTTACTTTTTTAATGTAGGCATTTTGCTTCCTAGGGTTGATTTCCCGCTACATTCCCATTGATATCTTTAAATTCCAACCACACTTTAGATCTAGGCTTTCCTTTGAAATCTCTGGAACTTTTATGAGACGTCTGCTGAAAATATGCTTGTTTTGCTACTGTTAAAAGGATGGAATAGATTAAATTGGTAGGACAGACATACTGTGTTAATAAAGTATGTGGATTAATTTCTATCTGCTGCTTTATTAAAACAGTGCATATTTGCATTTTGTAACTTTTTTCATAGGCTGTGATGTGTGTTAAGTCTTGTACACTTTGATCAAATATTACAATTGCCATTTCTTGTTCTTGTACTTCACTAGGCATTTTGTCTCTCTTATTTTTCACTCAAAGTAGACATTTCAAATAGGTTTGGTGCAGAAGACACTAACAAAGCAAATCTATGAGAAAGAGTACGGCTTCTTAATTCTGTTATTTCATTTCCTAACTGGATCCTGGCTATGTCTATGTGCATTATTAAGTATTTTAACTTAATGGTTTCAAGTCCCTTGTCCTCTTGCATTGCCTGGTAGTTTAAACAGAAATGACTCAAAATATCTAGTTGAAATCAAAGGTTTATTTCACCGTTTTTTTCCCTTGTGAGGCTCACTTGGTCCCATTACATTTGAACTTAAAACTTGGAAGCTATTCCTAATTCATTTATATCTGTACTTTTAATTCAATGGGAATATATAACTTTGTTCACTTGATATTAAAACTCTCCAAATAAAAAGGTTACATTCCTGACATTATATCTTCAGTTCCTCATTAGAATAACAAAATTGCCTGGCACAGTTCTGGCTAGGAGAACTGGCACTTAGCAGTTTCTCAATAAATACATGATTAAAAGAAAAATAATGTGTAATTAAGAAAAAAACCTAGGCAAAAGATTATGAAACATGACAGAGTTGCCTTTGAAGTCTAAAAATATTAGACTCAGAAATTTAAGTGATGATCAAACTAATGATCCTGAGGGCTGATCTTTAGACTCTAAATTTAGTGCTCTTTGCACCATGCTACGCCTGTCTCAAATTTTTGAGACCTCTTTCCTTGGATCTTTGACCCCTTATTGAACCTAAGATTAATGATTTGACCATAGCCTATGAAAACACCTTCTGCATGTGTTTTTACGGATATAAACTTAAACATAATTTAAAAATTTTCCCATATATGCTTGGGGGTGGGGGACTTTAGTGTACTATATTAGATTATAACAAGTGTATGCTAAAAATTGGTATTTATTAAGATAATTAAAATGGTATCAGTTGCTGAATAATTTGAAATATACTGTATTTTGCATGTATCCAATTCTTAAAGAGCTTGGAAGTTGAAGTTCTTATAATAGTTAATACATTTTGAATAATAAATATGTCCAGAAGTATTTTAGTTGTTAACTTCTTACCGACATTTTTGTATTTTGATTCGTGTGTGTGTGTGGTCCTATGGAGCAAACACTTTGCAATTATTTTTCATTAAAGCATTTAAAGGTGCAACATTTGACTGCTAATGTGTATACATAATAAGGAATTCAGACTATACTGTTAGTCTAAAAGGATACTTGACTCAAATTATGACAAACCTAATGTGACCAGACTGTGACAAAAGTAATAATTTTATAGGATGTTATGGTATCAGAATAAGACTATAATGTGACATGATTGTTGCCTAAAGATATTATGTGGCTACTATGTTAACAAGCAAGGTTTGTATTATAATCTCGATGCAGTGTAGTGCCATTTTACTACTGCCTACACTGTAATATCATTGTAATTTTAATCATAGATGCAAAATATATTTGAAAAGCATCATACAGGCTACCTGAATGTTAATCACTGGTAATATGCTGATATTTCCGTTGCTTATCCTAAAGTATTTTATAAATTTGAAAATTCCCAATCTCTGCATATTTCAAACACGATCTAATCATATTAAATATTTTTATTATGACAACCTAATTTTTATTGTTAGATTTTGATATACATATCCCAAGTTAGGTACATTTAAATGTTTCAGCATAATTTAGGGTATGGCATTAAGTAGTTAAAAGATATTGCTATGAACCAAGGAAAGGATATAAATTTGTTTTTTATATTGCATTTTCCCCAAAATAACTTTCTATAATTTTAGCAAACTCATTCTTCTATACAGAGCTCTGGAAAGAGCAGTATTAAATGCTATTATCGTTCCTGACTTCTTTGTTTTCCCTTTTGCTTTGTCTAACTTTGAAAAAGGAAGATGTCCTTGTTGAGAAATATAAATTATGAGTTTGGGCCTTCATACTCTAGTAAATTAATTTGACCTCATTACCTAAAATTTGTAGTTTAATTTAAAGGATCTTTAAGGGAGGATGTAGAGATTGAAGTTTCAGCTTTAAAAATAGTACCGATTTGACTACTACCCACATTGATGGAAACAACATTACAGCATAAAAATCATAAGATAGTTGCCAATGTTAGGCCAGGCATAGTTACTGTATTCCCAGCACTTTGAGAGGCCAATACCTGGGAGTTCAAGGTTACAGTGAGCTATGGTTATATCACTGCACTCTAGTCCAGGCAACAAAAAAAGGTTTTAGTATTTAATCACAAGATCTTAAATTTTATGATATTTCTGGTATTAAATTTTTTGTGGTTTTAAGACAAAAACATCCTCTTTTTTAAAGACAAATTCTTGATGAAATTAGTATTTTAAAATAACAGACTTGCAAAGTATCTTCAGCCATTCAAATTCATATTCTTATGTGTATGTGAAATAGTCCATTTGTCTTTTTTGTAAGCTAGATATAGACATATTTTTCAGAGAAGCCTCCCAGTAACAACGGTTTATTTGCTTAGTGACTTAGAAAGTGTGTTGACTTTTCTAAATTGGGATGTAAAGGGAGCAGAGCTGTAAACAATGCTATTTTACTCCTTGTTTTGTTTATTTTTATCACGGAAGTAAGATGATTGCTTCCTTACTGGGAAAAGATATTTCTATTTTACTTGGGAAATATTGGTATGAAGTCTGTGTTGCTTTTGAAATTAGATAAAATTACTAACAGGTTGCTAAATTTAAAAGTGTATTTATTAAAAGCTAGCTTTCAAAGACTACATTAGGGCAGCCTGTCCTGATTGATTGGTTTTAGCATTTTATTTTTTTGATGGGGCATGGCTATAAACATACTTGAATATTAGTTTAAAATGCAGCTAGAATATCTTACCACAACAAATAAGTGAGGCGATGGTTATGTTAACCAGTTTGATGTAAGCTATGTTGTGTATCAAATCAGCTCTAGCAAAGTGTATCACAATACCTTATAATAAAGATATTTTGCTGGACGTCATGGTTCATACCTGTATTCCTAGTACTTTGTGAGACCAAGGCATGAGAATTGCTTGAGGCCAGGAGTTCCGGAAGTGCCTAAGCAAGGGAGATACACATCCCTCTTAACCCCTGCCATGTGGTTGGGAGGCTGAGGCAGGAGGATTTTTAAAGCCCTGGAGTTTGCGGTTATAGTGAGCTCTGAGTGCATCTGCACTCTAGTCCATGTGACAGAGTGAGACCCTGTCTCAAAAAAGGTATTTTGCAGAAATGTTGTGAAGTCTTATCTCACTAAAATCAAATTTGGAAGAGAAAAAGGATCTTTGCTGCTTTTTGTTTGTTTTGAGACAATCCCATTCTCCTTGGGTAAAGTGCTGTGGAATCATAGCTAACAACAACCTCACATTCTTGGGCTTAAGCAATCCTCTTGCCTCAATCTCCCAACTAGCTAGCATGGTGCCCACCACAACATCCGGCTAGTTTTTCTGTTTTTGGTAGAGACAGGGTGTCTCTCTTTTTTTTTTTTTTTTTGAGACAGGATCTCATTTTGTTGCCCTCAGTAGAGTGCTATAGTAACATAGCTCACAGCAACCTCAAACTCTCAGGCTCAAGCCATTCTCTTGCCTCAGCCTCCCAAGTAGCTGGGACTACAGGCACCTGTCACAATGCCTGGCTATTTTTAGAGAGGTCGGTCTAGGTCTTGCTCAGGCTGGTCTCCTGGGAGGTCAGGCAATCCACCCACCTTGGCCTTCCAGAGTGCTAGGATTACAGGTGTGAGCCACTGTGCCCAGCCAACTTTGCTGCTTTTTGTATGTGTATATATGTGTAGGTCAATCATTTCACTTAATATACATAGAATAAAAGCTTGACTTTAAAAGCTTTACATTAGTTGACAAGTTTAGTCAACTAAGTAAATTAATGAGTTAATAAGGTGGGTTATATCTTATTCCCTAAGACCAGCCTCAAAATGACGAAATTTTTTAAATCTTATTTTGACTCTAGTGCATTTACATAATAAAGCTCATTAGGTAAAAAAGAACTTTTTGTAAGAAAAATCTTACATGATAATTGGCTGATAAAAGTCATTTTATACGTCCCCATTTTATGTTGTCTTAAGTAATGTTTAAATATTCCAAACATCAAAATTATAATGTGCAATATTTAAAGTATTTGCACATGCTGACCTTGAACTCCTGGGCTCAGCTGATCCTCCTTCCTCAACCTAGCTGGTAGCTGGACTACAAATACACTCCACTGCAGCCACATAGGTCTTTTATATATTTAAATGATGTTTTATGAATTATCAGGAGCAGAGGGTTGTTTGGATTGTTCTTAGAAAAAACAACCTTATTAGCTTAGTCTGATTTGTACAATGCTTAATTAATTAGTTCATCAAGGTGGCGATCCCGAACCTTTTTGGCACCAGGGACTGATTTCATGAAGAACAGTTTTTCCAAGGGGTAGAGGGAGAATGGGATGGGAAGCAGAGCTCAGGTAGTGATGCTAACAGGCCTCAGACTAACACTGGTAGGCAGAGTTTGGGACTGCAGCAAAAAAGGAAGTATTTTTACTAATTATTACTGTTACAGTGATCACTATTTATCACATAACAATAACCTTTTAGAAGATTGTCAGAATCAGAAAATAATTGCTGGAATGGTAAGGGTAGCTCTTACTGAATACCTCTTTGGGCCAGACAGCTATGCTACGTTATCACTTTATTTAATTGGGAAACTATTTCTTCATCGGTTCTCATTGTCCCACTATGAATGTTAAAAAAAATCTCTTTCATTACTCCAGTGGAAGTCTTCTATAAGTTCCTAAATTGAGGAGATATAAACATAACCCAGGGGAGACTAGATAAGAAATCTAAATCCTTTCTACAGGAAATAGGTTATACTAAGAAAGGCAACTCACCTTTTTATGACACCTGTTCTAACCTCTGTATTGCAATGTCTGCTGTATGCTTATATTATTTCATCTCATACATACACAGAATGGGCATTAGGTAATTAAATGTTTATTTTTGCAAGTAAGGAAAAGTAGGGAGGTAAGGAATTGGAAAGTATGATATAAAATGTTTCAAATGGATTAAAAAGTTAGTAGTTTGTATGTGACACAACTATGAAATTAAACTTTTTGTCTAATTTTTTTTTTTTTTTTTTGGGCCGAGGCTGGGTTTGAACTCACAACCTCTGGCACATGGGCCGACACCTTACTCTTTGAGCCACAGGCACCGCCCATAGTCTAATATTTTTTCCTAAGCAAACTCTTTTGTTCTGATCCTTTTTGATGCTATCATGATGCACATTTCAGTTTATGTTAATCTTTTCATCTGAACAATAAGTAAAGTTTTCTTGTTTAGTCTGGTATAACTTGAGATGTTATAATGAAGGAATTTGTATAAATGTGAAATTAAAATATGCATTTAGCCCTATAAACATGTAAGCTTACACATATTTAAATGGACTGGGTTTTTATTTATTCCTTCTCTAGCAGTTTGAAATGTTCTGAGTATTCATAAAATTGATTTTAAGTCTCACCAAAAATCTGACAGCATAAGTCAAACATTTTATTCTGGGCACACGTATGTTATTAGATTTCATATTGTTTGAAACATAACGTTTATGCCTATTTGAATGACAAAAAACACTATCAAAGGAACTTTTCATACCAAGTTTTTCTACATGACATCTGCCACTATAAAACTGTTTTGGGGAAAGTTCTTTATTGGTGTTCTAAATATTTCATTCACAGCTTTGTACACCAAAATAAAAGTAAAAACTATTAACATTGTCTTCAGTTAGTCAACAATTTTGAGTAGTTTCTTTTTTAATTATCTTTTTTTGTTGTTGTTGTTCAGGCAGAGTCTTGCTCTGTCACCTTGCCTAGAGAACAGTGGTATCATCATAGTTCACTGCAACCTCAAACTCATGTTATCTTTCTGCTTTACCTTCCCCCATAGCTGGTACTACAAACATTCATCACCACAGCTGGCTAATTTTTTCTATTTTTAGTAGAGCTGGGATCTTGCTCTTGCTCAGGCTGATCGACAACTCCTGACCTCAAGCAATCCTCCCTCCTAGGCCTTCCAGAATGGGAAGGTTACTGGCCTGAGCCTACAGGCCTGAGCTACTCTGCCTGGCCTAATTATACTCTAAATACATCTATTCATTCTTTGATTTTCATATTTTAACTTTTAAGTAAATTTTTTAGTGTTTGACACATTAATCACAAATAGCAGCACTTTTACAAAGCAGGTGAAGAACAAAGTATCTGTAGTCAAATGTCATTTTAATGTCATTCTAGTTTTGTAAAACTTGCTTGTAAATTGATTTTAATGGTTCACTAGTTAAGGTATGTATCTCATGGTCATATTACCTTAATTCAGATTTTTAAAGGAACATTTTCTAGTTATCATGGAAATATACTTTGTGGTTATGCCCTTCCTCATTTGAAATTGCAAAAATGTTAATTTTAAATTTTAATATATTTACAGTATCTCCAAACTTTATATACTATGCATAATAAAAGAAGAATTAGCTTTAATATCAGTTCTTTTCTTAAAGGCCTACTAAATTCAAGGATAAATATTAAATGGAATTTCCATCATCATAACCTTTCTTTTCTATGTTGTACTTCTCAAGGTACTATGCACATTTAGGTATTGGCTATTGAGTTAATTTATTAACAAGTGCTAAATATAACATTGGGTTACTTAACCACTCTTATGTTGAATGCTACATGGTTTATCACAGAAGAAAGGAGGGTAGTACAGTATATTATGAAAGTAATTGTAAGGTGTAGTATGTAATTACGTATAATATGTTATTATTTCATAATAGCACCTTGAACATAGTATTGCAAAGGTAATTAAAATGTTGTTTGCAACTGCAATTTTAAAGTTGTGGAAGTGCCTGTCCTTGTTAAAGCCTAATTTCTATGCTAAAGATAACATGAATGGTAGATTAATTTTCTTCTTGGTTTTGTTTCATTTCCAGGTGGAGGTTTAGCTGTTGGAACAGTTCTTCTAATCGGTTAGTATAACATTGATGCTTTGCACTTCCAGGTCACAGTTTTCTGTTGTGCATAATGATTTTATGGATTTCCCATTATGAAATTTAATGTTTAAGCTCTTAACTCTCTGCAGGAATTAAGATAAACTAGCAATTGCCTTCAATTCCGATTTAAATTCCAGTGTTAATCTGAACTTGAAATAAATTTGGCAAATATAACTGGAAATAGAACTCTTATAATTTAGGAACCTGTGATCAAGGAATTCTAGAAATGGCAATGGCAAATGCACTTTTAAAAGTTTGTCTTTCAGTAAATAAAGAGGAATGGAAGGTTTTTACTGAAAAAGATAATTTACAGGTTTGGTATAAATAAATACATAAAGTAGAAAAAGAAATGTAAGAAAATTAAGTTGTTTTCACAGTTCCTCCTCTTCATCCCCAAAGATAATAGTGTCCTGGTTGTCCCACATGAATATTTCTATATAAGTTATATACACAAGAGTATTTATCACCTTGCTTTGTTCACTTAATACATCTTAAGAGATCAGTTCATGTGCATGTGTAGAGCTGTACCTTATTCTTGTTAACAATTGTGTAGGATTTGATTGTATAGATGTGCCATAATTTATTGAACTAGTTCTCCATAGAAAAATGTATTTATTCTATTTTTACTTAAAATTTATTTAATTCTATTTTTCTATTAGCAACAGTGCTATTTTGCATAATATGGTCTATAATCTTTGCATACATATATAAATGTATGTAATAAATTCCAAGATACCAACTTGCTTGATTGAGGCATGTTAAATTTTGTTAGATTGTTTTCCCAACAGGCCATCCTACATATACTTAAACCAGTAGTTATAAGAATACTAGTTTACTCTCATCTCACCCTTAATAATACTGTCTATCAAAAAACATTTACATATTTAATAATCCAAATAGATTAGCCTGTGAGGAATCTCTTCTGCTGGGTTCTCCACTTTTCTATAGTTCCCTGGCCAACGTGAGTTGTATGATGAATGAAATCCACCTCGTATGTCTCTTAGGCCTCTTTTTCTGCATTCTAAGTATTCCTACTTTTCATGTCCATTATACTTTTATAAATTATAAAAGTATAAATTATAATTCCCTTCACCATCATGATCACTGCCTTTTGAAGATGGCTTAGTTTGTGTAAGTTCCCAAGCTAAATATATCTTTGTCAATCTGGTCGACTCCTATAGAGTGGAAAGACAATCTTCCTTAAGCTAGGAGTTAAACTATTAATTCAAGACAAAATTACATTTGCTTTTTGGCAGTTCAGTCACATCATCATCATTTTTACTGGCCCAGGGTTATGGGGAGTCACTAAATAGATTAATTAAATGTTTAATTGTTCAACCTCAAAATTGGTTTCACAGAATTGATAATTTCCAGCTTGATGAGCTTAGTGTTTTTGCTAATCTCTAAGTAGGTGATCTTCTTCCTGTTGGCTTTTTCTGCTTCATAAGACTCATTTGAGAACATAGAAATGATTAACTATATAGAATATGTGTGTATAAGAAGGTGTGTTTTCAGCAAAACTACAGTAGGTGTGGCTGACTTAAAAGTCAATTATTTGTTCTTTTCCCCTAAATTCTATCAATATTTAGTATATGTATACTATGTGCCAGGGGTCCTCAGACTTTTTCAACAAGGGGCCAGTTCACTGCCCCTCAGACCATTGGAGTTCAGTTCACTGTCCCTCAGACAGTTGGAGGGCCAGACTGCGGGCCCCGGGACAAGTCGGACAGGCAGCGGCGGCAAAAACACCCGGCGGGCTGGTTAAATGTCCTCAACAGGCCACATGTGGCCTACAGGCCGTAGTTTGAGGACACCTAGTGCTCATTACTATATGTCTATATGCTCATTACTAGGGATATAATAATAAGATGTGGTTTTGACCACAAGATTCTTTTAGCCTTGTGGGAAAAATTTCCACAAAGATGCTGAAATAAAATATTTATTTAACATTTATTAAATGTTATCATGAAGGTTATGAGGGTGCTCCGGAGCACTCTGATCATCTCACCCAAACTCAAGGAAAGCTCGTCAAAGTTGGTACTAGCTGTTCTGCTTCTGGAGGGATTTGAGTGAATTATCAACCAAAGTAATAAATGGATTAATGCAAAGGTCCTGAGGCAAGAAGCTGCGTGGCTGATGCCAGTAGTAAATTGCTGTGCCTGGAGCATACAGCATATAGAAAGGAAGTGTCTAAAAAGAAGGCTGCACAGGTGATCTAGAGAGGCTTCTGCACCGTACTTTTGGGGTGCTTTCCTTTAGGGAGCTCTGTAAAGCCATTTGAAGTTTTGTTTTGTTTTGTTTTGTTTTGTTTTTGTAGAGATAGAGTCTCACTTTATCGCCCTTGGTAGAGTGCTGTGGCGTTACAGAGCTCACAGCAACCTCCAACTCCTGGGCTTAGGTGATTCTCTTGCCTCAGCCTCCGGATTAGGTGGGTCGACAGGTGCCCACCACAATACTTGGCTATTTTTTTGTTGCAGTTTGGCTGGAGCTGGGTTTGAATCCGCCACCCAGCGCCCTACCCACTGAGCCACAGGCACCACCCAAGCCATTTGAAGTTTTACAATGGGAGTGACAAGAATAGATTTGCTCTTTAGAAAAAAACTGGTATTTGCTCTTTAGAAAAAAACTTGAGTATTGTGGGAAATAGACTGGAGAGGAACAGGACTGAAAATAGAGGAAACAATTGGAGGCTGATGGTGAGAAGTAAGGGTTAACTGAACTAAGTTGTTGGCCGTAAAGAAGGAAAGAAATAGATTGATTCTAAAGATTTTAGGAGGTTGAAGCCATAGGACTTGGTTTCTTTAAAAAAAAAAAAAAAAAAGGAAAGAAAAGAAAAAAATTAGCCGTGTGTGGTGGCATGCACCTATAGGCCCACCTACTCAAGAAGCTGAGTGAGGCAGGAGGATCATTTGAGCCCTTGAGTTTGAGGCTGCAGTGAGCTGTGAATATGCCCCTGCACTCCTGCTTCACAAGACTCTGTCTCTTAAAAAAAAAAAAAGCAACAACAATAAACATACACCTAAAAAGCACTGAAAGGAAATAGAACAAAATTTTAGCAATGATTCTGTGAGGATGGTAGGATGGTGATTGAATATTTTAAGATTTTAATTTTCTATTTTGTTAAAATATCAACCTTAGAAATTAAAAATTTTAGGATAGGGTTTATTTCTTTCATCTTTGACTTATAATGACCTCAGATTAAATGATTCCTTTTGTAAACTGATTTAATAATTATTATTTAAGATAAAAAGTAGTTTGTTTTTAAACATGACTTTCTATTTTGTTCTAAAGTTGAATGGAGGAAAATTCTTAGTTACTAAAGTAAGCATTTTTTTCTAGTATGAAAGCTGTATTAGTCAATATAGCTGGAAAAGATAAGATTTGTCCCTAAGGGAACCTAGGGACATTCATAAGCAAAAAAACCCCACAAACTTGAAATTCTTACGTGTCATGATCACCGTCATTCCAAAGCAGACTTCGCTGTGATTGCTGCCAGCTTTGCATTGCTTTCCAAAGCCTTCAGATAACTATTTTTTAAATGGTGTCTTCTCCATGTTTTATAATGATGGCTGCAGGAGGTTTTGCACAATGATTTCCTGCTGACATTAGCACAAGTTCAAACTTCCTTACCAATGTTTTCAATAGTGTGATTTTTACAAATATTAATGATCCCTGATATGTTATAGGAATTCAGTTAATATTTATTGAATAAATGAGTAATGGCTACTCCCTTTTTAGAGAATGCAATAAGTATACCCGTGTTTCTTGCCTTTGCGTTTTGTTCAGACTGTTAAAAAAAGCTGATATAAAAATGTAGGCACGTTCATCAGCAGTATTAAGAGAGCAAAGATAAACTGAAGCTATTTTTATTATATAATGAAATCACAAAAATATAACATGTATTTACCTAAGAAACCTCTTTATTCAATGTTTAATCATTAAAATTCAAGAAGGGGGGTGAGAGAGTAATGAAAAGCAAAAGGACTATTTACTGAGAAAACATTTAGTACAAATTTAGAAACTCTATCAAATTAAAATCTTCAATATTAAATTACTGTTGAATTTTAAAGCCAAAGCTGATTGTGGGAGTAATACTATTTTTGCAAATTTTATAAGTATTAATTATCAGGCTACATACATTGAATGCTTAATTATTGTGACATGAAAGAAATGAGGTGTGAGCTTACAGACTACTCTGTGGATTATAATGGTGATGTTAGAGGTACTGTGAGAAAATGCGCTATATCTTAGTAAAGAAAAAAAAAGGCCTCTGAATTCTTTCATATTATAATCACATGTAATCCTCTTAATTTTGTGAATATTAGAGTGGTGCCATAGTTGGAGAATGATCTTTAGAATTAGAAAGTCTTTATTAAAGGTACCTTCTTCTCATTAACTATACAAGTCTCTTAGCCTATCTAACCGTGCTTTAGGAAAATATAATTATGGTCCCATCTCACATACTTGTTTTAAGGAAAAGATTTGTAAAAACATGCAAATGCACTTGCTATATGAGAGGAGTCTGACTATAAATTTTTTTTTCTTTTTCACAGAAGAGGATAAATATAATACTTATTCACCTTTGCTCTTCAAATATTTCCTGGCAGAGGGAATCATTAATGGGCATACTGTGTTGGTTGCATCTGCTAAAGAAGACCCTGCTGTCATTTTACAGGTTAGAATATACTAATCCAAAATTGCATTTTGAACATCATGACACAATATTTCTCATACATGTAAACAAGATATATGTTTGTGCGTATACAAACTATATTGAAATGGATTAATAGAACTGTACCTTTTATCTCAAAAAATATCAAATGTATTTGAATATAGAGTTTTGTTTTAAATTAGTGTTCTTGGATAGTTTTTAAACTTAAAATTTATATCAAAGGTAAGGAAATGTTAATAAGCTGTTATACAAGGGAACTAAATAAAATTATTGGACCAGGTATTCATAAAAGTCATGTCTAATAGCAAAAAATTCTAGTTTATAAGCTGGATATGATGGCTGGTGCCTATAATCCTAGCCCTCTGGGAGGCTGAGGCAGGTGGATTGCTTGAGCTCTGGCGTTCGAGACCAGAGCAATTATACCTAGGCCTGTTCTTTATTATTCCTGTGTCAGAGGAAAGTCTGAGCAAGAACAAGACCCTGCACCCGTAGTCCCAGCTACTCAGGAGGCTGAGGCAAGAGGATTGTAGCTTATAAGTCGAGGTTGCTATGAGCTATGATGCCACGCCACTCTACAAACTAACTGAGACACTGTCTCAAAGAGAAAAAAAATTAAAGAACATTTCTCACCTTTCTCTGGCAAGCAGTATAAACTAGAATTGTTTTTTTTTTTTTTTTTTTTTTTGAGACAGAGTCTCACTTTGTTTCACTTGGTAGAGTGTCACAGCATCACAGCTCACAGCAACCTCAAACTCTTGGGCTCAAGCGATTCTCTTGCCTCAGCCTCCCAAGTAGCTGGAACTACAGGTGCCTGCCACAACGCCTGACTATTTTTAGAGATGAGATCTTGCTCTAGCTCAGGCTGGTCTCAAACTCAAACTTGTGAGCTCAGGGAATCCACCTACGTTGGCCTCCCAGAGCGTTATGATTACAGGCGTGAGCCACTGCACCCGGCCTAGAATTTTTTCTTTTTAATGTGATAGTGAGGTCAAAACTAAAATGAATCTTTCATATGAGTCAGACTTTATTAACTAATTTATTAAATAATAATAAAGAACAGGCCTAGGTATAATTGCTTTTCCTCTGATTGCAGGGCCGGGTTTTTTCAATCTTTTTTCAGTTGTTTCATTTTTGTAGTATTTTGTTGATGTTTTTATTTCTTCTTTTGCTCTTTTCCCTGGCTTTAATCATCTTGACCAATTTTAGACAATATTGCACTTGCAATTCTGTTAAGGCCAAAATCATTATTATAAAGAAACTCTATACATTCTTCATGGCATATGGCACAGTATTCTGATCCTAAGATTTTTATGTCAAATGCCTTAATAATCTGACACAGGAAAGTTTTCCAGGCCAAAAGTTGGAGGGCCTGTATATGCTTTTCAAAGTCAAGTGTTTTTTTAGTGTTTCTTTCTTTCTTTTCTTTTTTTTTTTAGACAGAGCTTTACTATGTTGCCCTCAATAGAGTCCTATGGCGTCACAGCTCACAGCAACCTCAAACTCTTGGGCTTAAGCAATTCTCTTGCCTCAGCCTCCCAAGTAGCTGGGAATTCAGGTGCCCACCACAACACCTGGCTATTTTTTGTTGCAGTCGTCATTGTTGTTTATCTGGCCTGGGCCAGGTTCAGTTCACCTGCCTTGGTGCTTGGTATATGTGGCCGGTGCCCTACCCACTGAGCTATGGGTACCGCCCCAAAGTAAAGTGTTTTGTTTTTCTTTCTTTCTAATTTAGCTAACTGATGTTAAAATCTAGTATATATATATTTGTATGATTTGCTTTAAGAGTACCATTTTTTATTTCAAAACTAATCCCTGACTTCTTCTTAGGTACCTTGAATTTATACAAGTCAGTATTAAAAATCTCAGGTACTTTACATGTTCTGCTTTAGACTGTGTACACGTGTTTCAAGCTGTATACTACCTCTTCCATCAAACTTTTATAAACTATCTGGTCAACTAAAAGAAAAATACTTGAAATAACAGTTTTCAAAACATTGGGCATCAGACAATAAAGGATGGGAATTGTTGACATATGCAAAACAAAGAAGGCAAGGGCTGTAATTAATTTCCCTAGCTTACTAAGGAAATTGCAATATTGCAATTAGTATATTGCTTCCTTTGTGATTAAATAGGGATAACATTTGACCTTTGTGAAAGTCTTCCAAACCACAGTGGTTCCAATTTTATAAGTAAGGGATATAAGGTTAGATTGACATGCAAGTTTCTAATCTAATAAAAGAAAATCACATCAAACTTCTTTCCATTTACTTCAGCTTCCTCATCAATTGTGATGGCATTAAATTGGAGATATTTAATTTGAGGAGTACTTGTAACTATAGTCATTTCTTAGGCCTTATCTGTTGACCTATGAATAGCACTTGATATCATTGATCACTTTTTCCTCCCTGATACACTCTGTTCTCTTGCTTTCTAGGAGCCTATAAAGTGTCCCAAAAGTTCCCCATAGGGAAAATGGGAAATTATAGCTAAATAATCTCTCTCTCTTTTTTTTTTTTTACAAAATATTCATTACAAAATTTTACAAAGAGGTGGCCAACACACAGAGAATATTTCACAAATATTTTTAATGAATGTTTTGTAAAAATCGGTACATTTTGTTACAATTTCCCATTTTCTCTGTGTATGGCAACTTTCAGGTGACTTTTGGAGCACTCTGTATTTTCTTGGTGTCCACCTGCCTCAGTAGCCACTTTTCCTCATTCTTCTCTGCTAGTTCCTAGTTATTCTCCACCTTTTAATATAAGGGTGTTCCAGGACTCAGTCCTAAAACTCTTTTTCTTTTAAATCTGTATTTTTTTGCTGATCACATTCTGCCCCAGGGATATCAATACTGTTTACAGTTGACAACGTTCAAATTTGTATATATATCAGAGCTCCTACTGCCTACTCCGTGTCAAACACGGAGACAGTTGTATATCCCACTGTCTACTTCTCTCTCTGATATGTGCCCACTGGTGACCTCAAACTTAACATGTTCAGTATCAAACTCCTGAGCTGTTCCCCCTAAACTTGTTCCTTTTCTAGCCTTTCCCATGTTAATTAATAGCAACTCAGGTCTTACGTTTGCTCAAGCTAAAAACCATGGATTCGTCCTTAACTATCATTGTCCTTAACTATCATCCAATGATAGTTAAGTTAAACTAGATGATTCCTATCATCCAGTTTCTCAGGAAATCCACATAATATGTAAAATATGGCCACTTTGAACCTACATTATTTATTGCTTACCCTCTCTACTTCTGCCCTTGTTTCTCTTCAATCACTTCTCACCAAAATATTCAAAGTGATACTCTTCGAATATGTGTGAGTCAGATCGTGTCTCTCATCTACTCAAAACTATCCAGAAGAGACCACAGTCTTTATAATGCTTTTCAAAATCTCCAGTTCACATGCTCTCACCTTCTCATTACCTCTCCACCACATTACTTAATATTGCCTCCTAACTTTATATTATTTACATAAAGTACCTTGCCTGTTAGGCATGCTCCAAAACTAGGGCCGTTGGATTTGCTATTCCCTGTACCACAAACTGCTTTGCTTCTCTCAGATTTTGCTACTACCCTTATTAATGTTGTACCTCCCTACTCCTATTCCTCAGATCTCCTAATCTTCTTGTCTGCTTTTTCTTCTTTTCTCCCCAGCTTCACCATCCACCTGGTATACTTTAAAATTTACTTTTATATTATTTATTGTGTTTCTTTTTTGTTTCTTCTTGTTGAATTTGAGGTGGAGTCTTGCTCTGTCACTCAGGCTAGAATCCAGTAGCATCATTATCATAGCTCACAGCAACCTCAAACTCATGGGCTCAAGCGATCCTCCCATCTCAGCCTCTCAAGTAGTTGAGACCACAGACATTAGCCACACCACACTTGGCTAATTTTTCTACTTTTTTAGAGATGGGGGTCTTGCTATGTTGCTCAGGCTGTACTCAAAATCCTGGCCTTAAGGAATCTTCCCACCCCCACCTCCCAAAGTGCTCAGATTACAGGTGTGAGCCATAGCACCTAGCTGTTTATTATTGTGTTTCTTCCCCATAATGGCAGAGTGTTTTCTCTGTTTTATTCATTGCTATACTTCTATTGCCTATCACAGGCGATAGACAAATGAATATTTAATGTATATGAATAGTTTAGGGAAGTAATAAAATTCTAAGATCTTTGTAATGGTTAATTTTGTGTCAACTTGATTAGGCCACATGTTGCTTAGATATTTAATTAAATATTATTCTCAGTGTTCCTATAAAGGAGCATTTGAATGAAATTAACATTTAATTTGGTAGACTGCCCTCCTTAATAGGTATGGGCTTTATCCAATCAATTGAAGGCCTCAACAAAACAAAAGGCTGATCCTGCCCTGAGTAAGAGAGAATTTTTCCTGTCTAACTGCATTTGAATTTAGACATTGACGTTTTCCAACTGTATTACTCTAACTGAAACATCAACTCTTCTTGGGTCTTCAGCCTGCCAGCCTTCAGATTGGAACTCCACCTTTGGTTTTCCTGATTCTCAGGCCTGTGGACCTGGATTGGAACTACACTATCAGCTTTCCCATGTGCATACCTTGCTGATCTTGGGATTTGTCAGCTTCCATAGTTGTGTGCGCCCGTTTCTTGTAAGGAATTTCTTTATATAGTCACATGCACACATGTGCACACACACACTCTATTGGTTTTCTGTCTCTAGAGAGACTTACTGGTACAGTTTTTAATGTCTAGATTCCCTTGCTCTGTTCTAGCATTGGTGTTGTTTTGTTTTGTTTTAAAGTTGTTAAATTTCTTTTGGCTTTCTTCCATCCCTTTCCTTAGCTTTAGTGAAATAGAATTGTCAAAAGTTTGACAATTTATTTAAAATATATTTAAAAGTGTGCAATGTAATGATTTGATATATGTATACACTGTGAAATGATTCTCACAGTCAGATTAACTAACACACCCACAGAGTTACCATTTTTTGGTGTGGTAAGAACACTTCAGAATTGCTCTT